CCCCTTGCACGACTCCACGTGGCAGTAGCAGCTCCGGCGGTTAGCGAGCACGTCGACGCCCCAGCTGGTGACCCGGAGTTCCCTGGCTGCTGGCCGCGGCTCCGGGTGTGGCGCCGGAGGTGGCGCGGGTGGCGGCGGCGCGTAGGCGGCGGCTGCTCCTCTGGCGCCCTCGGCGGCGCTGGGGCCTTCGCCGGGATACCCCAGAGTCGCATCGAACTCCAGGCCGCTCCAACTGATGGCCCACGCGGCCGGGACAGTCGAGGAAGCAGGTGCTGATGCGAAGGCCTGGGCGTGGACCAGGCCTGCCGTGAGAGCACCCACGGAGGCGGCGACGGCGAGGCCCAGTCCGAGGTAGGCCAATGCTCGGCTGTACACCTGGATGCGGTTCCAAAGCTGGCGCACGTCGAGCCTGGTTGTCGCAACCAGGCCCCTGGCGAGGCAGCCGTCGACGGTTGCCCGCACCCGCATCAGCACCTCCAGCACGATGAAGACTATCAGGGCGAACAACCACAAGGCGTCGCCCACGACGAGCGCGAGGCCCGGCAGGTGATCATGGTGCACAGCATTGGGGCTCGTGTCGCATCTGTTCATGCTCCTCCTCCTCCTCCTCCTCCTCCTCCTCCTCCTCCTCCCTCCTCCTCCTCCTCTCCTCCTCCTCCTCCTCCTCCTCCTCCTCCTCCTCTTACTCATCCGCCAATTCCTCCTCCTTCATCCTCCCTCCTCCTCCTCATTATCCTCCTCCTCCTCCCCATGCTAATCCTCCTCAGACTCCTCCTCCATCCTCCCCCTCTTGGGGTATGACGTCTTACCCAGCCCTTGATTCCACTGCATGCTCCTCCACATCGCTCATCAGGACAACTCGTCTAGACATCGTGTCTGGATAGGCTGGTGGAGTTACGCGAAGCATCTAGAATATTGTCGGTTCTCTTTTTCTCGAAGGTGTCAGCATTGCTCAGCCATCGGGCTACGCGTCGTCGCCATAAATGGTAATCCGACCATCCAATTAATGGTTCAAGATCTGTCAAGTCCGAAGTCTCCCACTTGTTCTGGTTCCAGTCGCCGCTCTTGGACCAGACGCCGCCTTTCCATCCATCAGCTGCTCTCAACTCTCATTGACTCCACTCCTCATATGTTCAGTGTCCCCCATACCACCAAGCCGCATCTGCTCATGCTCCACCCCGGCTTCGGCGGTGGTCAAACCTCCCTGTAGACAAAAAAACGGCCTCCGAACGAAACCGACGGACCTGGACCCGCAACGATGACGGCCGCGACGCCCTCTCGCGAACCGACAACGGCCAATTCGCTGATCGACGCGTCAAGGCAGAAGGCCTACCAACCTCCGGGGTGGCTTCGGTCTGTGAAGGGGCCCCAGGACACACAAATAAATACACACAAATAAAAGGATCCCCCATATTTTCCCATATTTTCTGGGTTTCTGTCTTCCCCCCCACTTCCCATATTTTCCCACATTTTCCTGGGGATCGGCGATTAATTGTGTCTGTGTGTATTTTCCCCTCCTGAGTCTGCACTGTAGCTTTGCCTCTCTGGCCGGCCCGCACTCCACGGGCCTCTCCCCAGCCGGGGGGGACACTGGACGGTTCGGCGCGAGCTCGCAGGGCCTCGCTCCGGGGGTCGGGAGGCCCGTCGACGCGCCTCCGCCATCTCCAGGTTGGGGGGGCCACATGCGAACCGTACCCCTACCCCCCACGATTTCTGAGGGGCCTCCTCCTCCTCCTCCTCCTCCTCCTCCTCCTCCTCCTCCTCCTCCTCCTCCTCCTCCTCCTCCTCGGGAGTGCCTCCTGAACAGGCGTCCTCGCTCTGCGCACTGCTGGGTACATACAAACTCGGAGGTCCGCGCGGACCTCCGAGTTGTTGTGGTTCCGTCATGCTTCGTTCCCCTGAACATGCGTCATCGCTCTGCGCTCTGCTGGGTACTGGACGCTGTTGCTGCTGCCGCCTCTGCCTCGCCTGAGGCCTGCCATTCGGCAGGAATCTGTCCTCGTCGACCGCGCGGCTCGCCATCTTCATCTCCCAGTTCACTCGACGTCATGCCGTGAAACTCGTGAAACTGGAACCTCTTCGCTGGAAGAAGCCACGCTCCTGCTACCACTGACGCGCGAAAACACACCGAATGTAGAATGAAGAGAATGGTGACGGGCCTCTTAACACACTCGCGACAAACTCATGCGCCCAAGAGAGTGCCTACGGAATACCCCACATATTCCAGAACGCATAAGAGATCCTATGACGATCGACTCACTAAAAACCAAAATCGTTACCTCAATTGTTCATTACTCGCCATCACGCCCGTGACTGGCCCCCCAGGTCACGTCACGTTTTGCGCCGGCGCCATATGAGGATGAGCCAGTACTAGGCATTCTCAGACGGCGCCAGCGCGAAGTTTGACGCGAAGGGCCCCCATCCCTCCCTTCCCCCTCCCCCTTCACGCCCGGTATCGCCAGGGGATACAACAACGGTTTCAAATGGGAGCCCCGAATCA